CACCAAAGAAGTCCAGGGTTGCTACGCAGAGGCAGGCGACCGCAGACCACCTCTGTTCATCTCCTGCCTTGAAAACCCTACGGAGCTGTCGTTAAGAAGTCGGCTGCAACTTGATGTCCCGTTCCGCCGCCACCAGGTCTGGCTCACCCGGGATTACATTTCAATGTTTTCAGAACAGAGAAGGGGGGACCCTTCAGGCGTGCTCGAGCCCCGGTAGCGCTTCCTTTAGGAGTTAAGTACCACACGGGCCTAGAGATGTGAAGGCCCGGGGGAAAAACTGGAAAATTCTGGAAAAAACGGGTTTCCCCCCGGTTTTTTCCTGAAGCCTTTTTGGTTTTTTCCGTTAAATTGGAAAAACTGAAAAAAGAAAAAAAAATGATTATCTAACGTTTCATGATGAATAAAATATTTTAAGACAAGGTGTTCAAATATTTTCCAAATCATTTCTAAAATATATATATATGTTATCAGATGATCTAATCTCTGTGCACTGAGGACAAGCAAGTCCTAGGGTACAAACTGAACCCTCCAATGCAAGAACAAGATGCATTTCTTCCTTTAGGAGGTGCGATTGTCAGAAGAAAATTAAAAAGTTTCAGTTTTGTTTTTGCATGTGGGTGGGTATTCTGTTTGAAATAATTGTTTGGATACACTATATTTTTAATATGCTAGTTGTGATAATTTCATGCCAAGTAAAAATGTCCATAGTCATATTTTATGTTCCTAAAGTAACAGAATGACTTTCAATCTAGAAAAGACAAAAGAAGTGCTAATGTGGCATTTTTTCCGAAAATTTCAGTTTTCCCCCGGGAAAAAAAACGGGAAAAAATTACATCTCTACACAGGCCCCTTTCCCTGGTCTCCCGCCCTTGTCTGCACCGTCCCCTCATCCTTCTCACCTGGTAGAGCTCCACCCGCTGCTGCGGTGTCACCGGTCCAAATCCAGACGCACGCACCATTCTCAGCTCGGCGCGGTAGAGGAGGTCCGGATTCTGGAGTGTATCCCGGATCTGCCTCAGGTCAAATCCGAAGTAGATACTGTGGCTGTTCCTTTTGTACTCCGTCCCGTAGCTTTCTGCACCCAGAGAGAAGGGGAATCGCGGTCATTTTGGGGTGCCCTCGCTCTCGGCCAGGCGACTCATTTCTTTCCCGCAAGCGCTCGAAGTCGGGCAGACTTTGGAAGACCCCCTCTACAGAGTAAGTGAACGCGCACAGACACCAAAAAATGCAGGTTCGATGCACTGGAGCGATCATTCGCCGATTTTGCCACTTCGCACAGTAAAATCCAGTCGCGAACTGCATCGGGAGCGCATTGTTCAGCATGTGTGAAAGCGCCCTGAGGCTGTGGTCACACACACTGAATAATCCACTTTCAATGCACGTTCAATGCACTTGCTAAATGGGTTTTGCCAGTTCACACAACCAGAGGTCGATTTGGGGGGATCGCAGGGGATCGCAGTTCCCCCGGGTGAGGTGCAGGGGGGCGGGGCACACGACGAAGCCCCGCCCACTTCTTCCGGCCGCCCCCTGCTTCCAGCCTCATTCTGTTGCAGGAGAAGGAAGAGGCAGGAGGGTAAGTTGGCGTCCTCCCCCTCTGCCTGGCCGAGGCCACTCCACGTGGCCTCCGCAAGGACTCCCAGCCCCATCCAGGAGCTTCCCCAAGGTAGCTGTGTTAGTCTGTTGCTGCAAAATAGTCCAAGAGTTCAAATAGCACCTTTAAGACTAACCTTTAAGACTAAGACTAACTGAGTGGTGGGTGTGGCCTTATGACACACTTCCGGTGATGGCAGGGGGTGTGGCCTTATGACACACTTCCGGTGTGGCATATGCTAATGAGTTATGCTAATGAGTTCCCCTAGCTCTTTTTCTACGAAACGACCCCTGCACAACAATAAAATCCAGTTGGGAAGTGGCTTGAAAGTGCATTGAAAGTGGATTATTTAGCGTGTGTGGCTGCAGCCTTTGTTAAACCTTTGCAAGGGGGTCAGAGGTCGACCCGTTTAGATTAGACACCCCGAGGTGGAGCAGAAAACAAGACTTGGTTCCGCTCTGCTAGGCCTGTTTAGGAGGAAGGTGTTTCTCTGCATTGGATAGGGCTCGGCTCTACATCATGTGCTAGCAGGGGTCATTTCGTAGGAAAAGAGGTGCAGGAGCTCATTAGCAGAACTCAATAGCATATGCCACACCCCCTGACATCACCGGAAGTGTTCCAGAAGGCAACACCCACCGCTCAGGCTCCACTGGACTGTTTTGGATTGCTAGGTATTCGGGGGGGGGGATGTGCAGATCTGTCCTCACAAAGGAGGGAGAGCTTGTACCTGAATAAAACTTGGTCTTAAAGGTGCCACGGGGGGCTCTGCAACTTACCTGGCTGCTTCTTGCTCTGACTGAGGGCTGCTGGGAGCAGGGGGTGGAGCTTGTTGCATGTGCCCGCCCCCTGGGCTCTTTACTGCCGGAGCTCCGCTCCCGTGCACTCCTGCAGGGAATGACCCCTGTGTTCTAGGACAGGAGCATTGGTGTCTCTTCAGGGCTTTAAAAAATGCCAAAATCTGACTCTGTCTGGAAGGAAGCCCTCTTTAAACATCCTATAATATTAAACACACGCCGCATGCAGTGTTCCCTCTAGAGTTGGCGTGAGCCAGCTCGCAGTTTTTTAGCCTCCGGCTCACACATTTCTGTCTTAGCTCAGGAAGGAGGCTCCAGAGCCAACTCATTCGTACAGCAGCCGAATCGCTGGCTCAGGACTTTAATGCCCGTCGCTCGCAAAGGAGAATTTCTTGCTCCCAAGACTCCACAGCTGAGAGGCAGCATTGCCTGCCTGTTTAAAAAAAGAATCCAAACGGATCAAAGAGAGTGTTCTATCCTTGGCCCCTGTGCTGGTTTTCCACTTGCAGGAAGTTTTTAACTTTTTATCAAGCAGAAGGTTTTTTTTTTAAACTGCGAGGCCTCCTCCCCAGAGCCTATCGCTTGAAGCGGTACAGTCCTTCCAACTGCCTCGGGCCTCCACCACTTAGTTCTCACGCCGCTCCAGCTTTCGCTGGCTCCCTCCCTGGCAACAGATTGGGGTAGGGAGCAGTGTTCCCTCTAAGCTGAGTTAGTGTGAGCCAGTTTGCAGGGTTTTTTTAGCCTCCAGCTCACACACATTTTTTGCCTTCACTCAGGAAGGAGGGCTCCAGAGCAGTGTTCCCTCTAAGCCGAGTCAGTGTGAACCAGCTCACAGTTTTTTAGCCTTTGGCTCACGCATTTTTGTCTTAGCTCAGGAAGGAGGGCTCCAGAGCAGTGTTCCCTGTAAGCTGAGTTAGTGTGAGCTAGCTCACAGTTTTTTAGCCTTTGGCTCACGCATTGTTGTCTTAACTCAGGAAGGAGGGCTCCAGAGCAGTGTTCCCTCTATGCTAAGTTAGCGTGAGCTAGCTCACAGTTTTTTAGCCTTTGGCTCATGCATTTTTGTCTTAGCTCA